CAGCAGAAGTGGCCCTCGTTGGTGCCATATTTGCAGTTGCAGATCCTCAGAAACTTGGTCTCGTTACCGGTGACATGCGAGCGAATACTTGGAGGCTTGCCTCCAGCCTGTTCCCAAAGGAATGGGGGAATGGAGGAGGGTAATACTGGGATTGTAGGATTATTAGACATGCTTCCTTGGATAAGGTACATTGCCAACACAAATTGGGCCGCATCTAAGGAACCGCGGTTTTGTGTATCGACGAGTGTCCTATTCGTAAAACCTTGATAAGCAAATTTATGGCGACGAAATGTTATAGAGCTGACCAGATTGCGTTCAATTTGTCCAAAGGGAGCTTAGAGCGAACGAACATATTTCTCGCTTGCTCGCCTGTAGATCGGTTTCATCAGCCAACAACTTGGGAGATAATTCGGGCAACTCTGACCATTGAGTAATCCCCCAGCAGGATTCGTCTTATTGAATAAGAGTAAAAATTTGTTTCTATCCGCGGGCAGCAGCGGTGGTAGCTGATTAGACAGAGGAGCTGTGGGCGCTGGTGCTCTCGCGGCAATAGGAGGGGCTGCAGGAAGAGGAAGACCCTCAATTGTTGGGAGAGGTCCGACTATTCAAAGTCCATTAGCATTCTTTACATGGCCTCAGACTGGCCAGCTCATTTACCTCTTTCTAGCAGCTCTGCGGAAGGTGACTCTCCATTTTGAGCCCAACCTATTAGACGGACAGCAATAGCAACTCCTTTTCTTGTTAAAGCACCGTTGTTTTCAGGATCGGCAAGTGCCCAAATGTCTCCGAGGGTCGCTGGAGCCAGTTTCGCACCAGCGAACACTTTAACGCCTTGCTCACCGGTAACGAGACCAAGTTTCTGAGGATCTGCAACTGCAAATATGGCACCAACGAGGGCCACTTCTGCTGGACTGGGTGCAAACGGCATCCCTGTGTGAAAGTTATTTGCGTTGACGTCGGCGGGGTCCAAGCTTTGCTCTTTCGACTACATCCGCCATGGACGGCAGCGGTGGCCATCTACTCGCTCTCAAAGTCATGAGAGTATCTGTTCGTTATATATCATTATTTTGTGTAAATGCAGGAGGAGTGACCAAGTTCTTCTCGACAGCGACCTAGCTTACTCGGGCAATGGCAGCCATTCGTTGAAAGCTCATCCCATTTCGATGCGTATAACGCATCTTCCATCACATCCATGCAACAGAGACCACGGGATGAGGCTTCTATACCTAGCACGGCTCGAGATTTCAATGCTTTATCGCCACTGCTCTCACTACCGGCCAGCTTTGGATCTATATCCTTGGGAGAGACGTTTGCGAGTTGTCTTTGCTTGATGAATCAAACAAATTATGAAATAGAAGGGGTTCAGGTCAGAGTTGAGATGGTATCTGCGACATCCAAGAATGCTCTATTAGAGCTGGGTGGTCCTGAATATCGGTTGGGACCGTTGGGGACTCTTGAAGGAATCGTGTCTTCAGAGATCAAGGAACTTGGACAACACACCCTGAGTTGTATTGTTCATTATCGAGTACCTCAAGGTCTTCGCCCACCCGCTCCATCCGACGATCCCTCTGATCCCAGAGCGCAGCTGTTTCGAAAGCATTATCGATTTCCAGTAAACAATCCGTTCTCTGTCAAGAGCAAAGTCCATTTACCAAAGTCTCCTACCGCTTTAATGTCAAGGACCGAGCGTGAAAAGGTCTTTCTCGAAATACACGTTCAAAATCTGACTCAAGAACCAATGTGGTTTGAGAGACTAGAATTCAGACCAGTGGACGGGTGGACCTCTGCAGAATCCAAAACGTCTGATCAAAGCCCCAAGATAACGAACGAAACAAAAGGTCGCAGCCCAAACTCCCTCATCCAACCTCAAGATACAATGCAATACGTTTATACTCTCATGCCAGCCGCGATACCCATCTTTCCGGTCAAGCCAGTTCCAGGCTCCGTCATCCCTCTTGGACGATTGGATATGGTGTGGCGATCTACCTTTGGAGAACCCGGCCGATTGTTAACATCTGTGCGTATTCCCGTACTTTGAAGTCCCTTTATTGACCTTTTGGTATCAGATGCTCTCGCGTAGGGTACCCCAAGCACCCTCTATCGTAGTACCATCCGCCCTCCCTCCACACCTCCAAAGGGCTATCGCTCCTATTCCACGGTCTCATTCCCCTACTACTTCCACAGCCGTCTCGACACCTTCAACCAACAGTCGACCGTCATCTCCAGTTCCCTACAAATCGAGGCAACCTAACCGACCACAAACCCCAGTCCAAACGGCACCTCCACCCACTCCTTTCGTCACCGACATACAAGTCGATCTAGTGGTCGACAAGATCCCAAATAAAGATGCGATTCGGCTCAATTCACCCTTTACTATACACTTTACTGCCTCTGTAGCTGCAGCAGCACTTCACACCCGAGTTCGAGTCTTGAGACTCGCTGTACAACACACCATCCCCTCCCGTCGTCCCAATCCTTCTACACAGAATAACACAGTCCCACGGGCCCCCGTCATCAGTGCCAATCTGACGAGCAGGGGTCATTCACCGGCCCCTTCGGTAGCCTCGACACCTCGAATACTGTCAATGGATTTCCATCCTAATGTCGTCCAATCGCCGAGGAAGCATAGGTCAAACAGGCATGATATGACCCACACCACTTTTTCCTATCCTTCCCCTTACTTGGACGAGTCGGATAATACTGGAGTACCGTCAGCGGAACCAGCGACTCAGATTGGTACAGGTACAGTCGAATTTCTGGGTACCTCGTTGGTCGAGCTTGCTACGTTCAGGCTTGCAGCCGATTCGGACCCACTGCAAGCTGCGCCTACGGAACCCGGAGCCCTACCCGATACGAGAAAGGTGTCAAGGCAAGAGTTTACGCTCGATTTCCTACCTACACGAATAGGTATGGCCAATGTGGGTGGACTTCGCCTTTTACTCTTATCGGATGAGGAGGAAAGGGAAGAGTCTGCACCACCGGATTCTGCAACGTCTGTCTCTACCAAAAGAGGCACAGTGAGCTGGGGTCATTCACAAGAATCGAGAGTTGCTAGAATACTATATCATTGGCCTGTTGTCGCGGAGGTCTGGGTCCAGCCCTAATGGCATAAAGGCAATAAAAAACCTTTGGGAAGGGTTCAATTGTTAACATGTAAACCACGCGAGAAATTGCGATGAATATAGCTTAATACGTCTAAAAAGTCGTACACCTAATTTGGTTTCACCTAAATATAGGTCTCTCTGTCGGCCCCTGAGCCTATTAAGGGCAACGGACATTGACCCTAAACCATCCATGCCTTGTTTATGGGATGAATCCTCCGTCATTTATTCTTAACAGCTCACAGTGATCACGCTAAAGGGATTGCATGGTAAAAGCTTCATTCCATTTCCACAGCAAAAAGACCATAGTAGGTACTTCCGCCGCAACAAAACGAGTCAACTATCGAAAACGACGAGAAAAGAGGTATGGGCAGATGGAGGTTTAGACCAGGAGTGTGAGCACAACAACACGACGACAAATGACAAGAGATATTGAGAGGTTTGGATTGATTGATGGGGGAAAAGGTTGGAATCCAAAAAAATTGATGATAGAGACACGCAAATAACAACAAAAAAAACAAAAATTGGCGAGTGAAAACAGGTAAGTTGGTTATGTGTAGATGGTAGCAGAAGAAAAAGATGAGAAGATCATGTGTTCATCTCCGCAGGCAATAAAAGATATGAGTTGGATCAATTGATTTTTTGCAATGTGAGGTTTCTCCGAAAGATTATGGATAGTTGTCGAGTTGAAAAGGAGCACGATCGACCGCATGAACCGACCAATAGTCACAGGGATCCGGAATTCGATTCGTAAGAGATGAAAAAGTATGCAACAGAGGCAAAGCCGTTGAACGACAAAAAGTATTGTGCCGTTGGTTGAGGTCGGAGGGACTGAGGGTTTGTTTCCTTCGTTGTTGTGTGTGCTTGGATGAATGAGCGTGATTCAAGCGAGGAATCGAGAGTGAAACCTGGTGATAATAATTTGGGAGATTTGGCATATAGGACTGATCCGTGGGATGAAGCGTTGAAATAAGTGAAGTACAATATAACACATGCACTCGCCCCCTCCCTTCGTCGAGAAGACAGAGGCGTGCGCGGGTAACCAGTATCGGAGCGGTAGGACCACCAAAGACCACCACAAAGTGACTGATGAGGAGCGCGAGAGAAATGACAATGATGCTCGACCGACGATAGTAGCCGAGGAAAACAAAGAGCACGAAAACAAAGGGGCCGAGTTCGAACAAATGATTATGACAGACACCGGGCTAATGGAGCCACAGCGAGGATAAGGGGGGAAAAGGGAGGGCGCACTGCAAATGCGCTCAAGGCTGAAAAGATGGGCGAATAAAGTAAAGTATGCACATCACATCACAGTCCATAGTCCATTGGGGGGTCACCCGGAGTAACCCGTTTGCAAAAAAAAGGTGAAGAAGCTCCACAAAAAAGGTATTGTACCAAGCTTCCCGCGATCCGGCCTTGGACAGAGAGTTGAGTTTGGGGGAGGGCGGTGGGAAAAAGTGTAGGATCAGAAGCGGTCCAGAAAGAGTAACGAATAAAAAAGGTATAGGTTACAGCAATGAGCATCCACGATGTTTACTCCCGAATAATCGTGCTACCGCCTCTTCATGGCCATCTTGCCGTTGCCTCTGATCGCTCCTGATGGCAACGTCTCGTTGATGGGAGAAATAGAGTGTTCATCGACGACAGACTGTGGTGGAGGGCTGGCATAAGTGTTGGATTGAGTCGGTGAGGTATAGCCATGAGAGGTCATGAATGCTTGCGGTGGATGATGGGAGAATGCGTGATGCTGATGGTATGATTGCTGTGATGAAGTGAATGCATGGTGCTGATAATGAGGCTGC